GGTCCTTGTTTGTATTGTCTGAAGCAAGTAGCTCACCGTGACCATAGTCATCACAACAAAATCAAGTTCGAAGACACCAGGGTGGGCCTTGGAATTCTTGTGATTTTGTCCTGGTTTGCCATATTCCGAGAGGTGGAGTCAGAAGTCATTGGACCTGTCCAGATGACCTTAGAAAACTGCTTTCATGGTATTGCACAGGACGCAAGACAGCGCATCCGTTCGTAGCCCGACCACCTTAATTGCGCAGCTGACTGCCTCCGCACGTGAAGGGCCTCCGGCAGAGGCGTGCCAAAGGCCATCAAGCTGGCAAAGGTCTAGCATTGCAGAGGATCTTGGCAAGCGTTGCCATGTTTGCTAACACATGATCTTGTGCTTGCATATGTGCCTGCATCTTGCAGGGCGTCTTGGTGTTCTGTCGGGCTGATGTACCATTTGTCAAGCTGTGGAAACTTCATCAAAGCGGAAGCCTGCCGAATTGGCACATGGCGTGTTGTTCCTCTACACGCCTGTCGCTTTTCGGGCGAATCTGGTCAGAGTGCTGGTTCAGCATGCGATTGATGCTAACAAGCCTCACTTCTCAGGCTTCGTGAGCATACGTTCAGTGAAAGGCTAGCATTTGGGATTGGGAGGGTGAGGATTTTTTGGGCCGGGGTTCTCTTGCAGCTCACAACCCCTGGCAAGCTGAGCTCCCTTGCCCGGGACAATTGTCGATCAATGTCATCACGGTTCGTTCGCAGCTCCTTGACCCAATGAGCAACAGTCTAAACTCCTAGTATCCCTGAATACCCCTATAGTTCTCCCCTATATAACCCCCCTTTAAGTAAGGAGTTTAGGCTATAGCTCACATGTACAGTTTGCTGTTTCCTTGCAATTAACTTCAAGTCCTGAAACTCCTGCTCGCGCAATGCGATCTGCTCTTGAAGATCCACCTGAGTGGGGTCATAGGGCCGAGCGCATGCCGCATACATGATCTGTGACTCACGCCTCAGAGCACATCAGCTACCATCTGCATAAAAATGGTGATCATAGTATTAAGCATAGCAATAATCATAATCATTATGGAAATACTAATCATCATAAAATAGGCCCGTGGCTAACATGGTACCTTGATACTATCTGCGCTTGTGTTCTTGACCTGAGTTCCAGCAGATCCACCTGCTCTTGACGGAGGGTGTCCCGCTTGCGTTCCAACTCCTTGCAAAGTGCTCATGCATGATTCAAAAAGTCAACATCGTCAGAGGGCTGATATAGGTCTATGACTTTATAGTTTCTACTAGACCATGAAATATATATATATAGTACCATGCTAATATTGTACTATTTTACTATATGCCAAAGTTCTACATGCACCAGGCTGCTGGTGAAGTGGCCCCAAACAAGAACGTAGGAGGCCTGCGTTCCATTGCCTGTGCAATTTGTTTTATTTTACCTCAACAGTATGTAAAGCCTAAACCCTAAGGCCCTAAACCCCCAATCTCAAAGACTAAATCCTAAACCCTAAACCCCATGTATATATATATATGCATACAGTTATATTATATTATATATGTTATATACAAATATATATATAGCCTTATGCCCTACATTCAGGAGCACAGTCAGCAAGTTCCCCATCCACAGAACACTCCTGGGCTGCTCCCAACTCCTCAGCCAGATCAGCCTGGCTCAGGCTGGGGTTTTAGGGATCCTACAGTCACGCCCCCCCCCCCCCCC